CGGCTCAAGCAAGCGAAACCCTGCGAAAGGCGCTCAGCGGAATGGGTGAGAATTTCGATGGAATTGATAGGATTCGTTTTGGCATTAGCGTAAACGGAATTGGATAGAGTTGACTTTGACTTGTTTTTGATTATTGACTGCCGTTTTTCGGCCGCAATTCGCTATGGGAACGTTATCACAAGAAGCGCTGAGCTGAGCTGCTGCTGAGTGCTGAGTTATGGGCAAAACCCTTCAAGGCAAAAGCGAGAGGAGCAGGTGCGATCCCACCTGGAGCGAAGAGTTTTGCCCATGAGCCAGCATTCTAGAATCCCGGCGAGGTATATCTAGCTGTCGATTTTTTCTTCGCGGGGGTGGGGGTGGCTCATCTCCAGCTCTGTCACGGTGAGGAGAGGTTTCACTTGAGGTTGCCAACAACAACAGTTGATCTGCGATCAAACTACAGTACTCCAACGAATGGTGATACTGTAGTATACACTTTGTATCCTTACTTACTTACTTACTTACTTCTTACTTCTCGACCGCTATTCGTCCCGGGCACGCCAGAAACGCAGGTCGCACATCTTCCAGGTCGCTCTGCTTCGGGCTCTTCTGCGCCACAACTGGCCGTACATCTTCACGAGAGGGTCTGCCCATCGGGTGGGGGTCTGCCTCTGGGCCTTGTTTTTCCCCTTGGGTACCAGTCAGTCACTCTCTTCGTCCAGCGATCATCGGTAAGTCTAGCCACATGACCGGCCCACCTCCGCTTGGAATTATAGATGGCATCGACGACGTCCTTCACCATCGTACGAGCGCGGATGGTGTTGTTGGGTATGCGGTCTCGGAGCGCTTACACCGCACTTTGTATCCTTGTGAATTTCAATTGGGAAGAAAGACAAAATTTCGGCACAACCTAGTTAGATTGCCCGCCTTTGCGGAGCTGCGCGAAGACCTCAACTTGCCTAAAAAATCCCAGGGGACCTTATGAGCACGAGCATTTCTCCCGTAGCACGCTTTAGCAAAAATACCTGCCGCGCTACGGGAGACGGTTCAATTCCTTTCCTAGATCAGGTCACAGGAGCTTCGCAATGACTGAAAACCTGGGGTTAGTCCCAGGCCCAATTTACACTTCGGCTTATGCTAAACGTAGAGATAGGCTTGGACTTGCTACGTGCAAATCAAAGGTGCAAATCACGGGGAGAACTAACACTTCCGCGTTCTAGAATCTAGGGCAGTGAAGACGTCATCTGTAAGTTGGAGCGATTTGATGACGTAATTGGACGTAATTGGTAAATCAGACCCCTGTGAGGTGTGTAAGGTCTTTTAGCAATGA